GGGTTATGGTGTACTATTTCTGACTTTTTCTGAACAACATTTGAGTAGAATACATTATTCTACAAGATATTAATTACTAATTACTACCAGTGCAGACAAATACAGCCCAGGTTTGGAGCTAATAATATGCCAAAACAATCTGAATTTGAATAGTGTTCATTTGAAATATTGACAATTGTAATTTATTTAATCTGAATTTGTTATATGCTTAACTTAAAATTGTTTTGAATTTGAATTTCTTCATTTGAGTTTGAATTTCATAACTTGACTATCTGAAATTTAAGACAACTGAATTCTCAACACAATCTCACAACAATTCGTAACTTTTTGATTTACATGTTGTGGCTAATTCATTGGAATTTGTACAACCTAATTAGAACAATTTAGTACGATTTGCTCATCACCCAATGACGGTTGGGCTTAGGGGTGAGGTTGGGTGCCTCCTTTTTAAAATCGTACAATTTCGTACAACTGAACTCGTACGAATTAGCCATTAAACTGGCAAAAGGTAAAATACTTACGTTTTCTCGTGAGATCAGGCTGGAATTTTTTAAGGCTGATTTTTTTAATAGACATGTTTTCAAACTTCAGATTTTTTGTGTTCTGAATTCCTAAACTGCAGATATTGGGTACAGATAATACAGATTCAAAATTTCAAGATGAAGAAATTCGAACATCAAATCCAAAAGCCACTTGATGACTTTTCAACAAAATGTTTGTTTTGTGTGACCAAAACCGAAAGCAGCCTTCCCTATACTTAAAGCTAAAATAGACCTATATGGGTTTAATTTTACATTAGGCTATATATAAATAAAAAAATAATAATAATAATTCGCACCCTGTAATTCTGCCTTGAAAAATTCAGTTGTCTAACATTTCAGATGTTCAATATTCAAGTTCTGAAATTCAAATGAAGAAATTCAAATTCCCAAAAAAAATTTAACGGCATATAAAAATTCAGATTTATTAAATCAATATTTCAAATCAACAGAATTAAAATTCAGATTGTTTTGGCATATTATTAGCTCCATTCGTTTTATCACCAGGCTGGCCAATCACTTTTATCTATAACCATAGTATATAGACACAGAATATGTAAGAAGTAAAACACTGAAAAGTAATATGCTCTGATGAAACCCTGTTTTGTATAAAAGAAAGCTATTCAGACTGATTGATCGCAAGTCATTTCTGTCTGAGAGAAATCAGATACGTCTTTGAGGAATTAAACGAAGTCCTGATTTTAGTATATAACCTTTATGCTGACACTTTCTGTTATTTTGCATAAATAAAAATGATGTAACAAAGTGTATTGCTGTATCAGAATTCCCATAGGCATATTGAGTATGTGTTTATGTCATTGAACTTCTCAAATTGTATACTTTCTGCCAAACTATAATGTACGTTGACACTATTCTTTGAAAGTACATTCAAAAGTTTATGTTTAGATGTATCTCTTTAAAAAAAAAAAAGTATTATTCTGAAACACAAACAATTAAATTATATCAGATATCAAATGCCCTTTTCAATTTTGGATTGTTAGCATGAATAGCTAGTGAGTTAGCATAGCAATATAACGTAGAAAGAGTTCATGAAACTTACCACAATCGATGCTGACCGAAGAGGGCATCAGAGGCTGGATCTTGGTAAAACAGTAACTCTTAGTGATGGGAATATCATGTATAGTTATGTATAGTTAAATACACTTATTACTTATCATACTACCAACTAATACTATCATTGTTGAAGAAATAATTCACTGAAACTTGTATCTACTCACCCTTCGGTTTTTGACCATTCCTGCTGTTCTTCTGCTTCTTCAAGAGATGATAGATAGACAGATAGATAGATAGATAGATAGATAGATAGATAGATAGATAGATAGATAGATAGATAGATAGATAGATAGATAGATAGATAGATAGATAGATAGATAGATAGATAGATAGCTTAATTAATTAATTAATTGAAAGGAAAACATAATGTAAATTAATAAAAAAAGAAAGAAAAACTATTCCATGTTTGGGGCCTAGCATTAAAACTCTCTTTCTCTATAGACATTTTTTTCTCCTGTGGATTCGTTTTTTATGTAAATAAACTGCGTGTTAAAATATATATTTTAGGTAAAAGCTTTATCTTCTTAATGTAAAATTAAATACAATAAATTCACAAATAATAAAGAAAAGTTTACAAACAAACTATGTAGAGTTAATTAGCCATTTTTGTTATTAGACATTTACATGTAGAGTACGAAAGGAACGTGCCTGTTTTTTAAAAAGAAGTTAATAGCTTTCAATTTTAATGGTTATAAACAGATTTTACAACATATGATTAAATTTTTTTAAGAGCTCTTCTTGGCATTGTTCGAGACCCCCTAATTCCCCAGAGCCCTAAGCAGCTGCTTACCTCGCTTATTGATTAAGTACGTCCCTTATAATAATTTTACATGACCTCAAACAGGTCTTTCTGTAACCTTTTTCCTATATCGGGCTTTTGTGTCATGTATTAACTTTTATTTTGAAGTTTGGACTTTTATTTTGCTTGCATCTTCTGTTATCGTCTGCACGTGATTTTGTTGTGCGGTGTACTTCCTTATTTTTCTGTAAAGAAGCATTTCGCCTTCCATACCACAATTTTAGAAGTTGAGGATAGGAAACATATGGCGGAATAATATATATCATCGCATAAAGTCATAAAGCTTATCAACCAGCATCGTGATGATGGAGAAGATAATTAAGGGTAATGCTATTTGCGATGAATGCTGATTTTCCATTATCAAATGATTATTAGTATATCTATATTATATATTTATACATATTAGCATTCATTGAAATATAATAATCAAGGTTAGAAGGTTTTTTTTTTGTTTAGAATTTGTGAATTAGTATGGGTATTAAATGAATGCGCTATATGTATATATATATATATATATATATATATATATATATATATATATATATATATATATATATATATATATATATATATATATATATATATAT